AGCAATTGAATAATTTATTAACGATAGAACCAGAGTCTCAGCCAGTTTTTTGCGAGTCTTGAAATTCAGAGTATGGCGATTGGTGTATAATATCTTCAAACGCATATATGTTAAGCGAGATAAATGCGTAACATGTTGCTTAAACCTCAAATCTGAATCCATGGTGATCCCTAAATTCTTCGCATGGTCTACTATAGGAATATGGGTTTCGTTAAGACTAGGAACAATTGTGTCATCTAACCGTTGTACTAACTGTATTTGGGCCAAATAGCATGGTAGAACATTTTGAAACATTAATCTTCAGACAATGTCTTTTGCAGTACTCTTCAATGTTAACTAGATCTAAGTTCAATTTATATGATGCTTCATGCATGTCCATATGGATGTTATTGAAGATTGAGATAATTATAGATATTAGCTATCTTAGAAATACATCAACACACCGCATAACATCCATTGACGATTTTTTTACGCCGAAGCAGCTGCGCAGGTAGAAGCCTAAATGCCAAGGCACCGCTACTGCTATGAGGAGCTTTTAAAATATATTCGCAAAAAACTGATAGTGCAGTAGACAGTGTGTTCAAGATAAATATTGAGATCTCCAAAAAGGGGTGGAGCTACCATGATGATTAGATGAGAAAAAAGCTGAAGCTGCCTAATATAAGTACTTTCTCAACACAGTTTTCAAAATTTGGCTAATATTATTTTGCAAATTTTCTAAATTCTATTTCCTTTTAAATAATTAAAAATCGGAAAATAACAGCCAGATTCTGTAACCTGCTTATAAAAGGAGTTTAAATTACGCAAGATATAAGATTTTACTTTGTAGGCCCTTTCATGTTTTGCAACTTTCATCTGAATGAGTTTGATCTGCACCTGAAAGTTTGTTGAATATAATAATAAAAAAATGATGATGAAGAACACCTTTAGTTGTCTTCAAGAATATGTAAAGACTTGAAGTAAATAATGTGTTAAGAGCGAAAATTATTATTTTGAGATAAAAAATCCATAGATACCTCGCATTTCTTTTGCCTTTTTCGGTTTTCAATATGGGCGAAATTCCTGTCGCAGCTCATAAACGAATGACACGACACTACACATTTTTGCTTAATCTCATCGAAATACCCATTGAAAATTAAATAAATCCATAAAAACAATAACATTTATATTTATATAAACAAGGTTATTAGCACTTAGCACATTTTTTACTGGCGGCGTTATCGCGATTGACAAGCGCGCACTATATTGGAATTTTTTCAGTACAATATAATAGCTATGGCACTTAGCGCTTTATCTATGTTGTTGGTTATGGCACCTAAAAGATTTTAGAAGTATAAAATGAAAAACCGATTTTTTGGCACTTAGCACATTATGTAACTCCAAGTCTTCATGTTTCCTGCTATAAAATAAAATCTATACATATGTATTTTTTTTCTGAAATTCTAGCTATCCTGGTCTGTAGTTAAAGTGCATGGCACTTTCGCATTAGAACAGTATTGACAGGTGCTGAGCAATACCGAGTTACTAGGGTTAACTCAATTGGGTTACTGCAGAGCAGCTCATACATAAATTTCTGCATATTATATTGTAATTAAACTTTTAAGGAAACCTCATTGGTTGGTGTAATATAAAATGGCCAGTTGCTCCATAATACACACGTGAAGCAACCACAAAGCTTCCCTTGACCGCACCGCAAAACTTTTTATTCCATGCTCCATAGTAATAACGTGAGGGTGGATGCGATATTTTTTCTAATTTAAACATTTTAACGAGGCTTTTAAAAAGGGACTCCACATCAAATGATTGCTTAATCCGAACATTGCCGAACGTACAGGCACAAGCGGTAGCGGCTTTTTAACTTTGCGGTTGCAAGAAAATTAGTCCTTTCTATGTGTGTATTAAAGGCTAATTTCATTTTTCCCTCGCGTTCATCATGGATCTGGCAGCGGAAAAGCGGTCGGTGTGCTCTTGTGTTTACTTGCACACAGCACAGTGCCGAATTCAGGAGTAGTCCGGCCGATGGATGTGACTTGCAGTAGGCAGTCTCTGCTGTACTGGTGCGAATTAACGCAAGATTTTTCTCGGGAGGAAGGGAGACTTTCATCCATCGGTAAGTTGTGTGAAGAGACTGCTTCACTGACTCAATCCTTCCAATTTTTTGTTATACATATGCGTAGCTAACTTGATTTACTCTCGGACAGGCATACCTTATAACCCTGGAAGGGAAAGACAATAGGAACGCTCGAGATGGTGAAGGGTTGTACTTAATGTCATGTTATTGTTTCACTTGGCAGTGACGTGCTTTGACATTTTTCACGTTAGTTATATAAATTTGAAAAAATATCTTCAAGCAAAGAGAACCATCTGTTTAATTTAAAAAACATTAGTTTTGTTTGCGCTTAGGTCAATAACGAAACACTTGTATCCGCTATATTTATTACTTATATTTTTACATATATATATTATTATTAGATACATATCGTCGGTCTCCGCACGTACAGGCGTAAATGACAAAGAATCTAAAATCGAGTTACGCCGTAATTTCACAGATTTTTGTAGTCTCTTACTTCACGAAGTAACGTAGCTGTATATCAGGTCGCTGCTAAAAATTAAAATTTTCAGAAAATTGCCTAAGTTATAAAATTCCGAAAACAATTTTCACGTACCGGCTTAAATAGATTTACGCCTCCGCATTAAAAAAGGTTCTTCATCATTTTAGTCTAACAAAAAAAAAACCAGTATTTCATTTTCAATCTCATTTATTGCTGATTTTCGTTTTCTTGCTCTCCTGTAAAATTTGTAAAATGTTAGTTACGCCGGTACGTGCGGAGACCGACGATATGTACAAAGTAGTGGCGATTACCCAAAACAGAATTAATACGAATGAATCAAAAAACCATTTACAGAAGTCTTCAGCTTAATTTAAGAAGATTAAAACAGGTCAGGACAGCTTGAAAGCTTACCTAAATATATCCGAAACATGAATATATCTAATAGAATATTCAGCTTTAAACTGCAAAACACAAAAATTTTTTTAGGAGGGTAAGGACTCGCTATCTTCTACATCACTATCACTGTCACTATCGCGGTCATCATCCCCGATGTTAATAATAAATTCTTCAGATGTGGCGTCTACTTTATCTTCCAGTTCCAGATATTCCATTTCAATTTTGATGACATGATCACATCATTCTTTCCAATCTCATCTGGTTTTATCTTTGAAAATTCCTCCATCATATTTATGCTGTATGAATTATTGCTTATGTTGCTTCATCAATTCATAAAGCTGTGGTTTCAGCATGGTCGGTGTGAATCTAATATTTTTAGATACAAGCCAGTCAACCATTACTTGCTTCTGATCGTTGAACTTTGGTGCAGGATCCACTTGTATGTTGTGATAATTTGCATTATCAGTCACTATCATAGAATTTGGTGGCAAATTTGGAATAAGCTGCTGCTTCAACCATTTCTCGTAATTTGAGCTATTCATCTCGTCATGATAATCTCTGCTTTTTGTACCTGATTTTAAAATCAATAAACCGTCATTTATGAAGCCGTCGGAACTACCTGCATGGATCATAATTAGCCGCTTTCCTTTGGATATTTCGTAAAAGAGTCCCCACTTACTACCATCAACCCAACTTTTAGCCCTGGCATGTCTGGCATGTATGTAGGACTCATCTAGGTATATAACTGCGGCATTGTTCTCGGAAGTACTTGATTTTCTGTAGATAGCTGATTCTTAGTTGACGAATGTCCCATTTCTCGATGAGTAGTTTTCTATTATTCTGTGTTTTTTCCATTTGAAGCCGAGTTGTCTAACGACTCTTCTCAAAGATCTTTCGCTAGCATGCCAATCTTCTTCTAGCTTCTTCCTAAGCGCTCCGATTGTTACTCGAGACGAATTGGTATAATGGAAATTATAGATAACGTTTCTTGTATCTGCAGTAGTGAAATTCCCGTTTGATAGATCTGTCACGGGAAATTTGCGCTTTCGTGCAGTACTAATTTTACCAGAAAATGCTGCTCGTTCTTGTCCATTACTTCCAGCATTCTTAACCTTTTTAACAATGCGAGTAATACTGGCAATTGATACTCCTGTTGCTTTAGCTACTTCAGCTTTAATCTCTGCCATATTTTGGGATCCGTCACTGCCAGTTATCAAATTGAGGATACTCGTACATTGTATACCACCTCACTCGTCTGGTTGGACAAAACTTTATTTCTACCCAGATTTCTCATACTCGGCACGTTACTGGAATAAAGGCGAACGAGGTACCATGTAGTATTGCCGCCGTTCTGTGGGAGGAGCTTGTTCCTAATCCAAAGAGAGAAAAAGAGAGAGAGAAATGGCCGTATCGTGGTGCGTTCATCAGTAGCATTTGGTGTTCGATTTTGATAGTTATGTGGTTTATATGCTATTATTCTGTAGTTTTTTAAAATACCGAATTCGGCTTGTTCCAAAGAAAAAAAGAGTAGGTTCTGACGTGTCATTGAGAATAAAGTACCACTTCAAAATTACGTTCTGAATTACATAGTCCGAATATTGAGCAAGGGGCACCATTATTTACTACAATACTTCCGAATTGATTTAATAACCCTGCAGTCATTTAAATATAAGGACATATAAACAGTAAGGTATGCCTGTAAATCTAGGTCTCTTCCAGTTTGGGTTTCCAGACAGTTGGTGAAGGTAAACATTTTAGTGTCAATGTCGAAATCTAGACAAACATTTACTAAAAGCGTCGTGGGAACTTCAAGGTGTCCAATGCTGCTCGTTCTTGTCCATTACTTCCAGCATTCTTAACCTTTTTAACAATGCGAGTAATACTGGCAATTGATACTCCTGTTGCTTTAGCTACTTCAGCTTTAATATCTGCCATATTTTGGGATCCGTCACTGCCAGTTATCAAATTGAGGATACTCGTACATTGTATACCACCTCACTCGTCTGGTTGGACAAAACTTTATTTCTACCCAGATTTCTCATACTCGGCACGTTACTGGAATAAAGGCGAACGAGGTACCATGTAGTATTGCCGCCGTTCTGTGGGAGGAGCTTGTTCCGGCGCACCATATGACCAAATCTTGGTAGGTGCTGGCAACTGTACTTGTGTTAACATCGACTATAATGAACAGAGAATTATAGGTATCTCTAATCTGACTGACTCGTAGTATACAGCAATAATCACGTCCTCCTGCAAAAGACATAATACATACCAATCCGATCACCGCTACTGATGGCTACGTAATCCATCCGTTTGATAGTCGGCATCAGTACTGTGCTGTGGTAATGGTTGAAACATGACACGTGAACACCTCCATGTATGTGTATAGACACAGAGGGAGGAGGGAGGTTAGAGGAGGAGAGACGAAATACATTTTCGCTTTGAAACGCATCAGGCGGTAGCAGAGGAGGACACTCTACGGCCGGGATGGGATGATTTTAATGGGCAATGACATGCTTGGTGGCCGCTATGGCCGGTTTTGATTTCGAATAAAACGTGCTGATTAGTCGGCCAAAACGCAACATGGCCGACAGTGGGATGAGTTGATATTAACGCATGGGTGTCGGTACTTGTGAGTGTCGGTGGAAAGGTAATGCATTGAGTTATTTTTAAAAAAAATGCTTTCGACAGAAAATGTGTTTTCAGTTCTTCTGTGAACGAAGCGCATGCAAAACTTAACTTATGTCCCAAAATTGTGACACTCATCGAGCCCGGCACGCTAATGGTAAATCCAGAGAGCAGACAAACATTTTAAGTTGCAACTACGTTAATTGGACCATAAAATATAAAGATTGCATGACCAATTTAAAAAAGGTTCTATTTGCTTCCAAGCTTTTGCCCTCTTCCTAAAGTGGGGAATAAGACCAAAGTAATTTAGAAGTCAGTATTTGGTCGATAAGGCATTCTTCACTAATAGGTGGAAGTATATAAACAAATATTTAGGTCATCAAGTATGTTAAAGCAACTTCTTCTCTTTGTGATAGTGATTATAACAGAATGATTTCCAAATTATATTTTCGGTCACAAGTTATATGCGCAGGAAATTTTTTTCTCAAATTTGGCCCCAATAGTTATCCAAAATTCACGGGCCTTAGAACTAAGCTAAATTAATATATTTTGTTAACAATTTTAACAATCACTCTGATAACAACATGATCTCGCTTTGTTCTAAGGCGTGAAGTTGTCAATTATATGCAAAATATTGTGTTTCTAGGTGACCATAATATGTAAACAATTAATGTCCATATTTTTACATTAAAAATAATTACTTAGAGGCCAAATTCCACATCAAGGTAAAGTTAGCTCTTGGTTTTTATTTTTGGACAAACAATTTGCTGTTAAACGATTTTTCAGATTGATTTGAGTAGGCTGTATTGATTATACTACTATCCCACTTCGTATTGCGTGTATGGGATGGGAAAAAATTCCTGACAGGGATCATTCTCTCTTTTTGAATTACAGTCGTTACCTAATCCAAAGAGAGAAAAAGAGAGAGAGAAATGGCCGTATCGTGGTGCGTTCATCAGTAGCATTTGGTGTTCGATTTTGATAGTTATGTGGTTTATATGCTATTATTCTGTAGTTTTTTAAAATACCGAATTCGGCTTGTTCCAAAGAAAAAAAGAGTAGGTTCTGACGTGTCATTGAGAATAAAGTACCACTTCAAAATTACGTTCTGAATTACACAGTCCGAATATTGAGCAAGGGGCACCATTATTTACTACAATACTTCCGAATTGATTTAATAACCCTGCAGTCATTTAAATATAAGGACATATAAACAGTAAGGTATGCCTGTAAATCTAGGTCTCTTCCAGTTTGGGTTTCCAGACAGTTGGCGAAGGTAAACATTTTAGTGTCAATGTCGAAATCTAGACAAACATTTACTAAAAGCGTCCTGGGAACTTCAAGGTGTCCAATAGGGTGATTTGCCAGACATATCGACATGTTTTTTAACAATCTATGCTGCAAACTTGCAAGGCATTTTTACTGCTCACAAATAAGCCAGTTTTTACTTACTAATATGCCCAAAAAAGAATCTTACGTTGAGGGCATATTTTAGGTTAATATTAGGTAAGCTATAACTTCTGGATTTGTATTTTAGGTCAATAATTCTTTAGGTACTTCTTAGCGGCGAGTGTTTTGTTGTTTTGAATCAACCAATTTAACCTCTTGCTCAAAGGTCTATTATGGCCCTAATTTTGTACGTAGTTACCAATTTTTGACAAAGGATTAAACTCTCAAGGCAATTCAACTTTTGAGAATAGAATTCAAGAGTATAAATACTAAAATTTTCAAATATGGGTAAGTAGTTATTTTGGGTGGTAGCCCATTTTAACAAACAGGTTCGTACACTTAGCACGGTTGGGGGCGTAAAAATATACTAACATCATAAAAATGTTTGGCCATGTTTTTTCAACCTTGGCATTGAAGTAACCCTGCGTGAGAATTTCATCCCAATCTGAGCGGTAAGTTATAGACTGGTCAAAGCTTAGCGTACGGATAGACAGCACGACAGAACGGCGAACATTAGTGATGTGTTTTTTCTATATCATATAGAATCAAAAAAAAATTCAAAATTTTCGCAATGACAATTCTTCGCCAGTAAAATACTTTCAACGCCACTATCGTCAATTAAAACAGTAATGAACATATTATGTCCCTTTTTGGAATATCTGTTTCCGCTTAAAGCATCTCCTGTTTATTATAGATGGCCCGTGAGCCTAAGACAATCGCCGATCTCACCATCAACCCTCGTAAATCGCGTTAAAATCTTATCGGAATCAAGACTGCTCTCATCTCGGATGAAAATACCACGGAATCTACCCTCTGCTCTCCCTATTATTGGCCAATATATAGGGAAAGGAGCATCCCGGCTCGTCTTACAGGCCATTTAATTATGTAAATGCCAATAAGGCATACATGAGCGAGTAAAGGTACGTCTCATCTTAATCGAAGCTATATAAAATTCCTTGCGATCGGTTCCATATTAAAATATCGGGGAAAACATCTCTATTATTTGATCTTAAGCGGGAGATAGCAGCGAAATTCTCCTCTAATATAACAGCCGGAGGTTACCCACGACGCTTTTGCGATATCAGTGGCTTAGGTAGATCCATTATGCCGTGGGTATCGGGCCTGAGATACAGGGATATATTTTCTTACCATATTACCTTACCAACAAAATTAATATAGTAAAGGGATGACTGTTGGTAGTAATCATAATTAGAGGTGACACAAATGGTAATTTTGCCAAATATCGAATATCTGGCCATGCTCTTGGCCGACTACGAATATTCGGCGCCTACTTCGATTTCTTGGGTGACAAGGGAGGATTTGGAAATCTGATGATTACTTTCCACCTCGTAATGAAAGAAGTGCCAATAAAAATGACAAAACCATTGACTTCCTTTGAGGGGGTAGCTTCAGAAATATGTAAAAGGTATAATAAGTCGTTAGTTAGCATACGTACAACAGTACCCAAGATTGATATTTTATTTTTACTTTACTTTACTTTACGTTTATTGATAAAAAATATAGATCTTTAAGTAATGCGTGTGACTTATTTTTATGATTTTATATTCGGTGTTGGGACGAATAGCTCGCAATATTCGACCGAGTTAATACATAATATTGAGAAAGTGGGCGACTAAAGCCGCGTACAGACCGAGATTCTAACGCAAGCCAAGGCACATGTGGTTACAGATTTGGAGGTGTTCGAATCGGTATGTACGGCGCGAGCCAACATATGTAAATCAACGGTTTCCAAAAACAGCGTTGGCGTTCGCTCCTTGATCGGTACATCAAAGGGAGGTTCGATTTGGTCTGGACAGGGTTGGTTGCGCTTCTAGTATTTAGTCGTTTGTCTGCATTCGATGAGAGGAGACTCGTCGCTCGACATTAACACCAAACTTAACCCAACGCGGTTCAACTCGAAACTAAATTTAGGTGTAGACGAGCGCATTCCAATACCTTCCAATAACAAACGCCAACGTTACAAGTGCTTGCATTCGTCTGCTCGGCGTTGGATTTTCGGTCTGTACGTGGCTTAAGCGGAATATCGAACGTAACAGTATGTCATCATAATAATGAATAATCATATACAAGGTGTAGGGGTGTACAGAGCGAACATTTTCGTGGAGTAATAGCTTATGTTTTAACAAAAAATATATATATTCTAGTTTCTATGTATCCAGGAGTTGTTGAAAATCACTAAACACCTCCTTTAGGAATATAATATAATAAACTTAATATAAATCTTGTTGTCTGTCCAAGACTCTTAAGGTCATTTTTTATTGAGTTATAACCAGTAACTTCAACATAGTTACTTATGAGATAACAGAAATTATTTGATAGGTCAAGGCAAATCTCACTTATGACCGGCTATCTCTGAGCATAAACCAGTTAGGTTATTCCTTCTGGGGACATGAAAAATTATTACTTTGCGTAACAATAAACGCTATAAAACTGCATTTTGTAGAGTTCATCGATTATAAAGAGAACAGGATCGCATTTTAACTAGTCATTTTGTTCAGTTATTGAGATTAAGAAGCTGGGCATGCAATTTCCGAACATCTCATGCGCTCCGCATTTTCGTAATGAAGAGATCTTTAAAATATACTAAAATAGTATATACAGGGTGACTTCGAAGTTGAGTCATTTATTTTAATAGTGAGTAGATCTGATCAAAAGAAATGTTTTTTTTCTTTCACATTTTTTTGATAAAATTAAAGTAACAAAGTTATAGCCCTTTAGAAGTTTGAGTACCGCCCTGTCTCATTAATAATATTATGTGTTTGGCAACAACGGATATCGGTTCATCGCATCGGAAACAAAAAAGCGAAAGAATTTGAAACGTTTATCACGTTGTTTTTCGTCAGTCGGTAACGCGTGGGTGAATAGTGATGTTTGTTGCGTGACTCAAACGAAATGAAAAATTGCACATGTTTACGAAAATGCTGAACTTGTGGACACGATTCTTATTTACGGAGGGGCAGTCTTTAAAAAATGCTGCCGGATGCATCACAGATTTATGCGAATCGGTTTCCCAATCGAGTGCAACCAAACCCTCGTGCCTTTGTTAATGTAGTACAAAGGGCTCGTGAATCAGGTGACTTAAGACCTCACAGGTGAGAGCATGCCGGTGCTCCAAGACCGCACGATCAAATACAGGTCCGCACTGAAATACTTGTCGGGAGGATACTTTATTAAACAAGGTAACATTTTTTTTAATTTTTTTTTTATTTTTACACACATATTTTGGTTTATCTTCCTTCTACAATCACTATCTGAAAATTAATGACTCAACTTCAAAGTCACCCTGTATATTGGATATTTGCCTATTGTTTTGTAAATACAGTCTTTTTCCCCATGTTACCAATACGAAGTCTCAGACAAGTAGTTAGTTCGCACATTTTCTAGAAATACATTAACCAACATGCAAACAAAAGTGAAATTTGGAGCGGCACTAGCCTTTGCCTTTTGCTTTTTACTTCGACTTCGCTGACATTTTTTTATAAAGCTACAACTCCTTCTTTTGTCTTTGGCCTAGTATAACCTTGTGTTGATGACTCTTTGAGAGTTATAGACAGGCTAAAGGTTACTAGACAGAGAGTCGCCAAACGACAGACACACAACACAACCATAATCACTTTCCCTTCGTCTGTCTCCAGGACGATTTGACCTATATCGCAGAGATGGGCTGTTAATGAGCAAGAAACTGCGCTGTCTGCGGTGGGTCATGGACACAGAGACAAAAAGGAAACATGTCCATTTCAACCATGCTATATGGTATTTATAAAACCGTTGTGTCTCGAATTTATCGTGTACAAAAGCAAATGAGCTCGCAAGTGGAATATCCTGGAGCATTCCTTCCGTTACGCCACTGTTTCAATGAGATGATTCTCTGGCATTTCTGCTCCTTCTTTCCGATATTTCACGTTCACCTCCAGCAGAAGCAGACCGGCGGCGTCTCGGGTTGTTAATTTAAGAAATTTAATTAGACAAGAATAATTAACGGCGAAATGTATACTTTGAAATTTGTCTGCAAGGAAATACTTACTCTTGCTGTTATTCTTCAGCTCATCGTGCTTTCAGATAAGCTTTAACTCTTCCTTCGTGATGGAAAACCGCCATGTGCTTCGTTGCTTCAGAGGGAGCTAAGCTACATTCTGTTATTTTTTCAAAGTAGTAACCTAAAATAATGTTAATATGTACAGTGTGAATGGATTTTAGGAACTTAATGAAACGATCTTAGCTACTTTATTTTCACGCTACCTCACTATGTACTAACGTCTATTGAGGTGAGTAGCTGCAAGCAACTGACATATGGAGAAGCACCATCTAGTTTGCTGATTAGCACATGCTTGCTTCGATTCGCTCTCGGAGTCTTCAAGAGGTTTGATTTGCATTTAAATCATATGTTTAACCGATTTAAAAAAATGCCATAGTATTGCTAGGATTGTGTTTCTACTGCAGCCTAATATCATCAGTGATATGTGATCTAGGGGAAAAGCAACTTCTTCAGCGACAAGAGCACTAATCATTTCATTCGTATCTTTTTCGTTATATTTGCAACGAAAAAGCCAGCGATTCAGATTGTCTGTGCTTCCATCGCAATCACAAATACCTGTATCCGATAGACCCAGACTTTGCATGTTAGAGTTGGTTTTGGCATAGCCAAAGAAATATCAGATATATGAGGAGTTTTTTTTTTGATTGGGTAACTTCGGTCAGCGAGTTTTGTAGTAGGCAAAGAGATTTTAGTATATGCATTGTTATTGGTATTGCAAAAACTGTTGCATTTCTGTTTCCACTAATCTATCATAGTTACCTTCCTGCTTGAAATAATGTCTTTGTGGGTAAGGTTAGGTATGTTTACACCAGATACAGCAGCTTCTTTTGCCAGCGTGTCAACGATTCCATTCCCTTTAAAGCGGGAGTATCCTTTCGCCCAAACGTATGTTTCACCTTTATTTTGTTGCTGCAAAAGCATATGCCTTTAGATTATCTTTTTTTTCTATTTCCACCCAATATTTCTTCATATAACAGTTTGTCACAACGACTCCTATAAGTATTTCTGATGTTAGCATACATACGATGATGCAGATACATGTATCAAATCAAATTTACGCTGGATTTACGTAAACTTAATAACTTGCTTCGGTTGTAGTAATAACCAACAAGATATGTGTTAATTACGGCAAAGGTATATCGATGAGGTAGTATAAATTCAAAAATCTTCAATAGTGTATTAGGACCCAAAAGACGCAATGATGCACTCTCAGTTTTGACCCACCTGTATCCGTACCAGGAGCAAAATATAATGGGATTTTGGAGTGGCTTTCAAATTCCCGTCATGTCATCCTGTACGAAATTAAATTCGCTTCCACCGCTGCCTGTTCCAGCATTCATAACCGGCCATTCGCACATAACCTCTCTCATTACGACTTCATTTCCATACGACGAACGAACGCGCGACAACGAAGTCGTTTCGCAGTTCCGTGGTCCGTGGCCAGACCTGCAGACATATCTTCATGATTCACCTCGGCATTCGCTTACCAAACGTGGTGTGGCATGCAGAGGCGTGTCAGAAATATATTTTTAAGGGGGTGTATTCTTTCTGAACATATTGGGTCCAAAAAAGGATCTGAAGGAACAGTGCACAAAAATAAATTTGGAAAATTCAGTTTGAAAAGGGTAAGAGCATTTGGGTCTGTTACTGTCTCATATATGGCGCCAGAATCTTCAATCACTATTTGGTATTCCTAATGCCTTGTAGTTTCTTATATTCAGGCATATATTAGCCTATTACACTTGAAAATACAAAATTGAAATAGGAATTAGAAGGGATTGAAGATCCTAGGCCATCTGTTAAACAATAGCAGAACCAGATACTTTAACTCATCTCAAAGCGCTCGTATCTTTCAGATACCTTTTTGCACATCTTGGGAATAATTGTCTCGACCTAACCGAGTTTGTGAATGTGCATTTGTGTAGCCCCATGTGTAGCTACGACAGGTCTAACAGATATTATGGGTCGCTCCTTAAGACCTAATCCTTTTGGAGACGCCTTTTTACATTTTCTCTTGTAAGTAACACCTCTCAGAAATACGGAAGAAAGCGAATTTTTCGATATGAGATGTTACTCTATTATCTAGCTTATAGTAGTTTCTTAACTACTCGTATACCTGTATTCTCATTTTACTACGAGTACTTGCCCCAAGAAACGCATAGATCTACTCTTTTTGGTTGCGACTACAATGAACACATTCTTAATCAGATGCAACCCGGTTAATAATAAAAAAAAATTAATAGGGCATAAATCCCTACCTCACAGTAACAGATTTTGAAGCCAGGTTCACCTACATGTCACCTAAGCATATCAACGCCACGTCCGATAGAGACACAGTAGTGAAAAATCTGGCTTTGCCAATCGTTGTCCCTTGACATACATCATACTGGATGAGAATTAAATCGCTGTCGCTGGTCTAATATTTAGACTTTTTCAGTCAAAAAAATAGCTCAGGCGGTGGAAATACTTTATGGAAACATGCTATGTGGGTCTTTGTTGTTCTTTTGCTGAATTCCATCAAATAACGGGACGGTTAAGCTGCTCACTCATTTGAACCTAAAAATGAACCCGTTTTTTTTTCCATATATTGGTTAACCGAGATTAACAATAATATGCACTGGCAACCTTTGTCTGACGGCTTGAGTTCAATGTGTACGAGAGAGAAGTGTGTACATATAGAGTTAGAAGCCGGCTTTATAACGAAGCTCTTCGCCGCGTTGCCAATATGTTATAACAATTCCTTGAATTAAGATGCATGTTGATTATACAGGGTTTGTCCAGAAAGTAATAGGACTCATTTTCTTCCGCCATGGCTGAACTTCGGAGCGTGCGCGCGCACCGACTGGATTCGGTAGAGGGCGTTCCTAGCTAACGAATGAGCGGCTGGTCAGTTGTCTCCGAGCACTTGGAGAGTCAGGACAGGCATTTTCGCGCGACGTGTTTCTGTGATTGGTGCAAGCCGAAAATGCAGCGTTCGTTAGAGCAGAGGTACGCGATTAAATTCTGTGTGAAACTCGGTAAATCTGCGACAGAGACGTTTGATATGATCAAGCAGGCTTACCCAGGTATTGCTTTAGCAAGAAGTGGTGTGTTTCGGTGGCACCAGGCCTTTTTGGAGGGCAGGGAAGAGTTCGCTGATGAAGACCGTGCTGGAAGACCTTCGACTTCGACAAACACCGATAATGTGACTCGTGTGTGCAAAGTTTTTTTAAATCGACTCAGTCCTATTACTTTTCGGACAAACCCTGTATGTGTTAGTTTATATTCTACGCCTAAATAATGGTTTTGTTTTGAGGGTACACATTTTTGAATTGTGTCGAATTTGTTTAGGATTGATTCCGGATCGGTCCGAACGGAGTCATCTTTGATCGTCCGTGTATTCTAAGTCGCCTGTTGTTCAATATACCAAGATGTCTCACCAGTAACATTACAAACCCTCAGGACCAACGTACTTTTCTGAATTCGCTCTAATATTCCATGTGCGTCTGTTTGAACATTGTACAAAACAGAATTGATATATTTGATACGAATGAGACTTCTATTAAGATCATCCGCAAATCTGCTATGTAATTGTGTAATTCTTGAATGTTATATTTTTTATGTCTACTACTGCAATGTATCAAATAAATTGAATGATTTTTTAAGAAAAAAATGATCAAGTCGCAAAGGGTTAAGTAACAAAAATTCTACTTACTTTTCTTGTAAGTGATAGAGCACTCATTATCAACCCCGTGAAGCCGCCATTGACCTATCCAGAGTGTAGGAATGTGACGTAATATGTCGTAATGCGTTTGCGGTTCATATTGTGGCCCGTCCTCGCGGTGCTAAGGTTATATTTATGGAGTCGACGTGCGAGAAGTGAATGCGGAATTGATAATTTACCTCAATATTAAACTTACTTCCGCTCTGGATATACCAGACGCTGGCGACTGTCGACCTACCGCCAACTCTACGTACGTTGCTTATTTCCATTTTAACGGCCCAAAGAAATGGGCTTGGATTTATGGGGTGGGGATTCTCTTCCGAATACATTTGAGCCATCTGATTACGTTTCTATTAACTCGTTTTCTTTTTAAGTCAGGCAGCCATGTATGGGCTATTCGCACCAAATGGATTAATTTATTGTGGTGCGTTCACTGTACCTGCAACAACTGAAAATTATGCCCGCTGGCGATTTACCATCTGCCTTTATTTCCTGCAATCGAACGGCACCACCCTCCAGCGTTTCCGCCCGCGTTTCGCGGTTTTATTTAAAAAACAAAAGTGAACTTTATTATGGCCCACCCTGTACGTCAAAGCTGGCAGCATGGTAAGCACTTAGTGTTCCCCTAAATGACGAAAGCCTATGGTGGTAGGCGGCACTTATTGTCATTCTAAGATGCCGACGCCATAATATTATCGGGATGCATATTATGTATAGTACCTTAAGAAATATTCACTTTCATCCATCTGTTGGCCCCATTAGTAGGGTTCGAACGCTCTTAGAATATGACCGCTACGTCATCGTGGGCGGGTCCGCTCATCGCGCGGTCGTCGACAGAGCGCAGTGGCGTTCTATTTTAATTGAAGTATAAAATAAAGTGAATAGGTTGTGTAGACATTGATCATTAATTGATTTTTGTATTATTATATTCATTTAGTATGCGCATTAAGTTGTTCGGAAGCAAATCTGAATTAGAAGAGGGAGCAAACTAAAGACGGTTATAATTGAAATTATATATTATCATTAAAAAATCTAATCGCTATCAGATGATAGTGTGTTTAGCTTCAAATCTTCATCTGAGTCGCTTTCGTCACTATCTTCTGATGATGACCCTGTGTTCACATTGAATTGATACTTATCCATTTGATCGTCGAGAAGATGTTCTTTTTCCACTTGTGCTTGCTCATATTTTTTCACGTGGTTACAAATTTTCTTCCACTCATCTGCTCCAATTTCTTCAAACCTGCTACGGGTCAGATGCTCCACATCAGACAACCTAAATGTCACATTTCGTGGAGCAACCCAGTTTTTTACGAGAGCCCAAATCTTCTCGATTGGGTTTAGCTCCGGATGATATGGAGGCATTCGTAAAACTTTATGCCCGTGCTGTTCCATTAAGGCATCTAGCTTGAATTTGACTGGAAATCTTGTTTTATTTTTCTGTATTTTTTTTATATAGTTCGGCCTTAGTTAATGAGTTTTCACTAGGAATTTGATGTTTTTCTAGCCAGTCAATCATCTCTGATTTCAGGCTAGAAGACGTTACATTTTTTCTTCCAGGACATTGTGATAAGAAGCGTTGTCAACTACAAGCACAGAATTTTCAGGCAAATCTGGGATCATTTGGCTTTCTACCCATTTCATGAAGTTCAAATGATTCATGTCGTTGTGGTATCCCCAGATTTTGAGCCTGAAAATAAAATACATACATATAATCCAGTAAATGTAAAAATATATTGGAAATATTTTACATCATTGTAACACAAATAATACCTGATTTAAATATCAACAAGGCGTTAGGAATAAAGCCGAATTCTCCACCAGCATGCACAATAATCATTCGTTGTCCTTTTGATAAAGGCGTTTTTAGTTCCTTGTCATAATTGTCATCTGACCATCCTTTTTTGGGGTATGACTAGAATGTATATATGTTTCATCCGTATAAATTATGTTCCTGTTCTCAGCTCTATATTTCATAATTTGCTTCAGATATTCGATACGCTTCAAGCAAATTTCATATTTTTCCATGAGAGCTTTTCTATTATCAGTAGTTCTTTTCCATCTGTAGATATAAATTATATTTATAGCGTTGTAAATCGAAAACCTTATAGTGTGTATGAATACTGACCTAAAGCCCATTTGTTTCAAAAGTTTGTTCAAAGTCGTTATTTTACCCTCAAAATTGAGTTGTCGATCTTGCATTTTTTGGTAAATACCTAAAAAATCTTAGAATGAAATATGACTAGATGCTACGGTTACAATTTAAAAACTTACATTTCAGCGAAGGTCTTCTTTTCTCCAAAATATAAAAATCGTATATGATTGCTTTCATTTCTTCAATTTGGCCTGCAGTAACTTTATCCACAACAGGTGATTTTCGTTGCCGCTTTTTAGATGGGGATGAAAATGAAAAGTTGCTTGAATATATTCCATCTCTGCTCTCTTTAGCTATTTTTTGATAAGTACATTTACTTATACCCGTGGCAGCTAACACACGTTTCCTAAATGGGTTAATCAGTTTTAATTGACAATAATTATAAAAATCTTTTACATTCATACATATTGTTGAAGTGGAAACTTTAATCCCTCTACACTTTCCTGTACCATGAAGTTATTGACATTGTTGATAATTTCCTTTCCTTGGCTCCCAATCGCCTTTCCTTTCACGCCAATTCACAGACATTGTTTAGATCACTGGTTCAAAACTATTAATAATTTAAATTTGAACAATAGTAAAAATTTCCACTATATTGCAATCTATTTGACAATTTTTACACACGGTGCCTTGTTCAAATTAGTTTACAAACTGAACTTATGACTAACGGATAGGTTTATATATCTGTTGCAGGTAAAATAAATGTGATTGATTAACACTCATCGTCTTAACGCTACTTACGAACGAAGGGATTTAGCCACGGGGAATTATTCCAGGTAGTTCAATTTTACACTTGTTATTATTAGATTTGTTTCTACTAATTTTGTTTACCTAGGCTTGATATTGGTATTAGCCTATTTATCTAGGTACTAATGATGCACTCTAGGAAATCTCATGATTGGTATAGATATAAGCGGATCACAGTCTTAGGATTAATTTAATTACTTTCAGTTGTTTGCCAACTTTGGGGTTTTACCCTTCAATATTGTGTCTATTATATGTAGGTACCTGCTCACTATTTTAAATTTTGATTTATGGATCTCCATCAAATATCCACAAACCCTATAAGATTAATAATTTTCAACACAATCAAATATAAAATATGATATGGTTAGATAATAAATAAAAAAATAAATAAGTCGAACAAACATTTCATCAGATCCCAATTGTGTCAACAATCTCAACTGACTGAAACCTGCGTATCTACATACTAAAAAACGTTCCGCCTATGGCGGGAGTGGGATGTCCCTTAACAGCGTCAACAGCAACATAATTTCTGGACATTGAAGACCACATACATTTTTAAGCTTTCTACGATATAAATATTCGCCACGATTAGAACTGGACCACATTAAGAGGGCGGTAACAGATGTCCATAAATCTTACCAGTGACTGTCACAACAATTTCCTATATTCTTATAGGGTACAATCGACGCAAGGGAGAGGGTATAAAGTGATGACGTAGCGGGCATAACCTTAGGCTGTTCGAACTCTACATGGCCAATCGGCTTGCCTCATCGTGTTGCTGAGGCAATATTTTCATCGGCCATACCGTCAATCGTAGGTCGTTTTTTCCGTACGATTTTCCACAGCTTTTCCGTCGTTAATCACTACCGCCAAATAAGCGGTAGTGATTAACGAATATACACAGCGAAGGTAATCGGCCCCGATCAGTCTGACGCTGTACAGCCCTTGGTCAGCGTCACACACAGAGCTGTACTGAGATTCCTATAAAATAAAATCTACACATAACAGACCCTTAACCCAACCTCAACAGCTTCGAATGAGAAACAATTTTCTTCCCGTTTCCCTCGAGAAATTTGAAGATAGGCGCTGATCAGCTAAATCTGGTAGTCTAAGATCCCGGGGCTGCTAGACATTACTTATTATCTTGAAGATAAAAAAACGGCATACAAGAGCGTTTTTACAGATATGTATAGTCTGCGAAAACCAACAATTCGTCAAGTTTGGCATAACAGGCAAGGTTAAAAATCAATTTAAAATAAAGTAATTTCAGAATACTCTTCAGATTCTTGTAAAGCTAGGCTTAAACTTTAATTTGGGTGCTTGGCGACTTCAAAAATTATAATTTTTAACCGAGTTTTTCATTATTAAATATACCCATTTTTAGAGCTTTACAGCCATCAAATCATGTACCTGAAAAAATTTATCTGGGCAAAATAATGTAGTTTATTTAAAAAATCGTTCAAACAAATTTGATCTGGGCTAACGTGCGGCAATATTCAGTTCTTAAAAAGTCGGTAAAACCTATAATTTTTGAGATCGCCAATTCTAAATTGAAGTTAAAGCCTTGCTCTACAAGACCTTGGAGGGTATTTTGATATTAGTTTAGTTTAAAGCGAGCTTAAGATTGTTTAATACTTTACTACTTTTATTGTTGCAGACTGTACCTACAACGCCTGCGTGCGCGCTAAGTTGGGTAGTGGCTCAATTTGCTGGTACCTGTTGACACTGGTTAATTAAAAATAAGACTAACTTGGACTGTGTTTTAGGAAAACATTTTTCATAGAATAGATATAAAGTTTAATATAACATTTTTGATGCAATGCCATTTATGTATAGGAGGTGCAGGTGCTATTGAATAGATTGTCTCGTTTAAGAAATACGAGTACAACTTTATTCGATAGGATCTTTCGAGAGATCCTTTATATAAAAAAACCTGACACGAACATCTTTTATTACAGCCCATACATTTTATATGTGATTTTTTTCTTAACTTGTCATTCAAAAAAGTTAGAGAGAAAGGTCTGGTAGAAGTTATGGCCGGCGGGATATATCTGGCAGTTTTGAATATTACTTTGCAATAACATTTTACAAAGTATATATAAAGCTCAACTATCAGAATCTACGTAAAGCTAGTCTTATTTTTGCTTAACATTTCTCACCTGGTACCGGCAAATCTACCCAACACAGACGTTGAAAGAACAACTAAGCTCTGTTTGATGCCCCACCTTTATTCTTCGGGTGCAAATCACTAAAGACATGAAAAACATGTCGTAAAATAAGTCTTTCCTAGGAATGCTTGCATAACTTCTAGTGATACTCCGTTGATGGAGGTTTCCTTAGAACTTAAGCAGATACGTTTAAATACCAAAGCATCGTGACAGCTATCAAAAATTTAAAATGGTAAAATAGTAAAATCTTGACTTGATG